TTGCTGATTCAAACAATGAAGAAACTCAAAGTCGAGATTTGTGGGAACGAGGGGCTTCCTTTTTGATTGGCATGATTACAGCCGAAAGCAGGAATGACGTTAACCGTCGTTGCACTGACAAAGGTGTGTGGAGGAAAAACCAACGAAGCAAGGAAGAGATGGTTGATATGTTAAAAACGTTGATTCAAAATCATGTTGCCCAACTTCGAGAAAAACATCAACATGACAACCCACATTCTTGCAAAAGATTGCCGGAAATTGCTTCTGAAATTTGGATCTCACTTCCATGCCAGTCGACTGCTTGGTCTCAAGATGTGCACGCCACCAATGCCGGGTTAGAAGTATTTGCTGACGCTGTATCTAGAGAAATGCAAATCATTTTGCAAATGAAGCAACATGTGCACCTATATGGTGGGTTGCCTATGGGACGCCATTGTGCATTGCGAAAAAGATGGAAACGGTACCAAATTGAACTTGCGCACGCGCATCCCAGTGAGACGGTCATCGCACGCAGAAGAATGTGGGAACAGATTCCAGGCTGGAGCTGGGCTTGCAGAACTTTGGAAGAATACATTCCCTCAACTTCTGTTGGCAAGGACTCGTTTGGAGCAATCTGGTCAAAAAAGCCTGTTGTACGTGCACCAATAACTTGCCAATTGTGCGGGCAAGGTTGCATGCATACCGAAGCATTATTTCGACACTGTGCTGAGAAACACAAAAGTTACACAGAGTATTCCAAACGGCTGCTATACCGTTTGCAAGAGGCTGGGCCACAGAAAGTAACCCCGCAAGAGCAACGAAGTATCGTTCAATCATTTGCACAGTTTCAATGTTGCAGCGTTGCTTCTTCTGGCTGTAATGATTGGGTGCCTCATTCACCTGACCAGCTTGTCCCAAGAAGGGAGGAAGCATGTGGTGTTTGTGCAAGATTAGATTGGATTGAAAATCGTTTCATGGTCGATCTCTGGGCCGATGATGGAGACAGTGAAAATCTTGGATGTGAAGAATACAGAGACATTGGAGGGAGCGATAGCGAAGATTCTACGGCCGAACAAGATGGACAACAAGAAAGACGGGCAAGTGGCAGTGCAGTTTCAAACGCAAAGGCAGTGAATGAATATTTGAATGTGTTCCGGTACATGCAAGCTTTTCCCTTGATACCAAAAGAGGAGTTGCTAGGCAGTGCCATACAGCACCCACGCCATCCGGAGTTTTTGTGGTTGCTACACAGTCGCCGCATTCCAGTGCAATCAATGCAACACGAGCCTCCAAAATGCTGCACCGTGCCAGATCCCAATTTTGGTTTTGATGAAGCACAGATTCAAGAACTGAGGCAGCATCGAATCGCAGGTGTGGGGCAGATAGGTCAACAGGTTTGGCTTTGTGACGATTGCCGAAGAGACCTTTGTAGCAAAAGACCTAGGATGCCGAAATACTCGCTGGCAAATTTCAACTTTATTGGCCGAATGCCGCCTTTGTACCAAGGATTTGTCGGTAGCCGTGTGACCTTTGAAGGTGAAAGGTTTCCAACCAAAGCAAAGGCCACGCTCAGGTAGCAGTTGTTTTCCGCACACCAACGCCCGTCCACGGGCGTAGTCGTCTTCTGGCCGTTTAGGCCGCAAGGTGCCACAGCTATGGCGGCACGCGCGCAAACGGTAGCCGCGGATGGCCTCGTGAGGCCAAAAGGCTGAAGGGTGCCCTTGAACCGATAGGTTCATGGAAGTCGCACATGTCCTTCACTGACCGGAAGCGAAACACATATGTTTAGCTGAGTTGTTCACATAGTTCTTATAGTTGTTTGGAAATGCATCTGGAAGGCATGGCTAAATTTGGGTAGCTCTGTGACGATTTTCATACCTCCCTTTCCAGCGTGTTCATGCCATTCTTCCGATGGACAACCGGAACAATGGTTATCTGGGCTGAGCAGGGACACTCTGTCACTAGGTTGAGCAGTTGAGGTCCAGTTTGTGGGGATTCAACCTTTCGAACAACTTCCTCGAAACCTAGCTTATGATTTCACCGCCCTGAATCAATAAGAAAGACCTCACACAAAAGAAGTATAACACACACACACACATGTCGCACTCTTTACTACTATTAGATACTACTGGGTCCCAATATAGGCCATTGCCATGGCGATACCACCAGATCACACGGACGTGCCGACGTGAGGTGCGCCGCAGCAGACCTCGGCCAGCTGGATCATCTGGAAGTCCTCCCAAGCGAGGCCAGAACAGTCCATCCACTCGCGAGCGCCCACGAGGCCTGAGAGGAGAATTTGTTGAGGCCCCGAGAGAAGTGATGGAAGAGAATACGCCCTGGAAGAGAAGACCACATGGAACCTGAAAAAGCACCTGGGTGGAACCTGAAGAGCACTAGTGTTTGTAATACGGAAGCCCTTGTCTTCCTGGCAGGTCCATAGCCGTTCGCTCGCTTCCAGTCCGTGGGTCTCGGAACCCAGGTGTTCGGAACCTGAAGAGGTCAATGTCTAAGGTCACTTCACTGTTGAACAAAAACATGAAGCGGATGAAGGGCAGCACTATTATCGAGCACTATGGCCATGGGCTACTCAAAACATCTCAAAAACACTTGGCTCTCACCTTGGTCCCCCCCGTTTTGCAGGTCAAAGTGCGGCAAACGTTCCCAAAACTCAAGACAAGGCACCCCAGCATGCTTTAGTTCCAGGAAACCACACTTCACACCACACATGACAGTGTAACATACATGGTGTGGAGTTCGCTGGAATCCCCACCAATGGTGTTGCCTTAATTGCTTTAAGTGGCCGGCCGTGTATAGCTCCAATGCACGGAGATTTGGTCGTGACCATCCCCACGAGAAAAAACTGAGCAGATCTGATGACTGGGGCTGGGAAGCTGACCATCGTGTCACCAAAATGCCCGTTTTGACATACATTTTAGAGAACAGGAGGTTGTATTAAAGCCAACGTCTGGAGAACGGGCGTTCTGCCTGCTAGTCACATGTAAGAGTAGAGAAGAACACATGTGTTGAACAGGTCAAATCCAGTAACGGGGGCCTGAAAATGATGAGGCCTTCAGGAACGACGGCTCAATCCCTTCCTTCTCCGCCGCGAAACTGGAGAACGCTTCTCTGTACAATTCCTGCCGCGGCGATGGCCGATCCAGTTGGTGCCATGCTGTACAGGTGGGTTACATTTTGAATAGGGATGAATAGGGACCCACTGGCGCAAACAAACCCATTGGGCCAGGGAGATCTCCTCAATGCAGAACAAACCCAATGCCATAAGGGCAGGCAACTCCTGGGCTCTACATTCAGAAACCTAGATGTTGGGTATGATGGTTAGTAAAGGCTGTTTTTTGCCAAGAATATGTGGTATTAACAAATTGTTAAAGTCTGCCTGTTGCTGACACAATCGGAGACATATAAATAAGATCCTGGAGGAAAACACTGGCCTCTAAAACGTGTTTCAACCTGCTGACAGATTTGATAATTCGTTGATTTGTTGCATAATAGGAAGGCTCTTTGTCAGGGAAAAGGCAAACACCTGTTGGTTGAGGGGACACTCCTCCTCACACACACACACATATATATATATATTTTATTTATACATATATTATATATTACAGATTTCTATTTTTCGTAGACGGGCCCCAGTATGTTTTACTTTTTCGTAGACTTGACGGGCCCCAAACACGCTCCAAGGGACACGAACACAGGTGTGTCTTTACCAATCTAAGAATCCTGGCCATAGTTTGCATGTTGAAAGAGATGCCGTGTCAATTTTCTTTTTGGCTCTGGGTGCTTTCTGTTGTTACATCTACTAATCTACTATGGACCATTGCATTTCGCACCAAACGCAAACTCCCCCAAAGGCCTTGATGGTAAATGGGTAGATGACTTTCAAACAGAGATCAAAGATCTGTGTATACAAACAAGTTGTGCTCAATACAGACAAATCTTGGAAGACCCCCTGGAACCACAAGAATAGACCCCCCAAGACCCTCCAAGGCCCTGACTGGCGGCCTCAGGGACCTCGTTCCTAGCATCCGCTCCGATAGAGCTGTGTCAATCGTTCACATTCTTCCATCGATAGGTCCGATAGGTGAACAAATGCACAAAACCTCGAACAATGTGTATAACATATGATGCATATGTGTTTGACATATGTAACCGATATGCTGCAATTCCGAAGATCCCCAAATGTCTTGGTGAACTGGGGTTCTCCATTGCAATCCATTAATCCATTCCCAACATTAGAGATGAACACATGTGTTGCACAACACACAGGCAACATACTATCGATACTATGCTAGTATGTCTCATATGACATCTTCCACCACCGAGCTGTTGGCCTTGAAGATCTCCAAGTCTTCTGCTCTTTGGAAGTCCATCCTGGGTGTGAAGATGGACTCCCTCTTCGTCCGGGAGTTCGGCACAGGGGGGAGAATGCGAGAAGGCGAGAATGCTTGCAGGAAGGTGTTGGCCCTAAAAACGAACACAGACAAACACAATTAGAAACATAATTAGAGTTCAAGACATCGAACGATCATACTATGAAGGGATCGTTTTCTCTTGACCTGCCACATGGACTTTCATCAACTGGCCCGGAAGTGTGTCATCCGCACACTGCCGTGAGCAAACGCTGTAGGTATTGGTTGTAGATGTGCGTCATAATCGTCATAGTATTTCAGAAATGCTATGAGCGATGCTACGTTCCATTATATTCCTACCAATAGGTGTGTGTACAGTACCGGGAGGAGACAGCTTTCTTTTCCATCCTTTGGCTTGTCGAACTTCATCGAATTTGGCTTGAACCCTGCTGAAAACCCGAAGAAAGAGACCCACAGCAGGCTGCCATGTCCCATTGCCCACCTACCAAGTTTCGATTTCATCATGATGTCAAAAGCCTCAGGGGTGACCTGGGCTGGCTCGCGGCGAGGGTCAACAAAAGGCTCTGCTCTTTGTGTCATCCAAAGAGCCAACAACATACCCAGCAATCATAGCCAAGAACATCCGAGAACCACAACAAGAAAACCAGGCCTCCAGACCCGACGTGCCAAAAGCACACCTCCACGACCTGCTTTCCCTGGCCTCCCTGGATGCAAAATCCTTGAGCGATGGTGGAAGGAGGTACAAACATCTCCAAAGTCTATACCTCCCTGACCCTGGAGTTCTGCATGCTGGAACCTTCATCCTTCACCACCATCACGACCATGATCGTTCCATTCTTCCAGTCGAATCAACCTTGGTGTCCACCCAGTCCGGAACGTCGTTCCGCACGACCCAGGCCCACCCAACCGACCGATGCGTTTCGACCCACTTCTCCCCGCAACCGACCGGCGCCTGGACGCTGGGGGCCACTTCTTGCAGGGCGGGAACCGACTCGGCCGACTCGCTGTTCAAGCCCAGCACCTTCCGAGAGCACCCCGAACTCTGTCGACTGGCTGAGGATTCTGTGTGGTTCCTCTTGGAAGCTACCACATCTAAGCCATTGCTTCAACTGAAAAGCATTCGACGAGCTCTGGCTGCTACGCAGCCACGGAAACGCATGGCTAGAATCACGTGGTGTTGTGGCTCTACACATGGGGAGGGTGGCTAGGACTGGACTTTTGAGGTATCGCTCCAGATATCGTTTGGAATCACTCTGGGAATGGCTCTAAAAGTCTATAAAAAGCATGGTTAAAAAAGACAGATGAGAAAATATCATTGGCCTATTTATTCCTGGACTAGGTATCGCTCTTGGGAGTTCCCTATCGCAACACGCATAAATACACACGTGATTGCAACACTTTACAGTAGAAACCATCTCCCACGCTTCATTGATCCATTTCTAGGATCCAACTACCTTCTCAAAGAGTGGTTGTCAAAACAATGACTGGAACGATCCACTGCCAGGAGTTCCGTGGAGCTGGGAGTTCCCTGAAGCTACCCCCAAGAGATCCTGCCCAGAACATCCACCTCACTGGGATGGGTCCACTGGTGGGATCTGGGAAAATCCGAGGACCCGCCTCGTAGACCTCGGCGCCGGCGCCAAGGCAGCCCAGCTGCTGCTGGAAGCAGCGCAGGCCACAACGGCTGATCGAAGCGTCGTCGACCGCTGCACTGCGGGCGAAGCACTTCGTGGTGAAGGGTGAGGCGAACCACTCCTAGGTGAAGCGAACCAAGAGGAGCAAGTGGGAAAGAAGGCGACATGGCAAAATGTAATTATCACAGAGTGGATCAGTATGGATCAAATATATAGGGATAATTCCTCAATTGGGCATTGTATGGTAACGTTTAATATAGGAAGAAAAACACATAATAACACAATAGTAGACCATACTAAAGCCTTGCAGTCCACTTCTGTTGTTGTCACCCGGTACACACCAAATGTTCATGAATTGAATGGTCGGCAAGACCAATTATACTGTCTCGTATTTGGGTGTGTTTTGGTCCTCGTCCAGCTACAGATTTGCCACTTCAAGGGACCCCTCCAAACAGTGTTTTGTAATTGTGTCAAATTAAATGTTCGCTCTGGGTATGGGATCCAATATCTAGAGATCTGATCAGAACCACATGAGAAAGTGACCAGTTTCTTTGTATGGGGCAAAGCAAATTCATTTCAAACCGAGTTCACACCAAAATGATCCAACATCAACAACTGACGTTGATACCATGTCATACACCAATCGCTTGTGCTTGGCCAATATCCATGACCCACCGCAACCCAGTGGCACACAGGTCTCGCTGACCTTCGCTGGGATCAGCCAAGCCTTAGTGAACATCGCCCAGGAACCGGGTAGAACCGGGCCACAGGAGCCCGGGCAGAACCGTGTGACTTGCTGAATTGGGGAGAACAAGACCCACCTGATGTGCTGTGGCTATGGCCCAAGGAACTGAACAGTTGGGCTTATTTCGGTCCACGTGTCGCGGAGTCGATTCCCCAGATCGCCAGCTCTGCCAAGCTTGGAAACGATGGACAACACAGGACTCAGGAGATAAGTCCAAACAGCTAAATAACAATTACATTACATTGTATACTACATTACATTCAATCATTTTGGCCTTTTGTTTGGGGTTCTCATTCCAAAGAGATTTCCTTCCTCGGGTGCAACCTCACCTCATCACCGCTCGAAACGTTTCCCAGCTCTTTCGCTCGGATTTCATCACCGAAGTCTCCACCCAAAACACGGGACACACGGGCGCCGCGGACTGGTCCATCCAAGGAACTGCAACAATCCTTGATTTCGACCGGCCGTGAAACACGTTTGGAGACATCCAAAGCTAGACACCTTTACCTTCCAATGCATGGTTTGATTGAACCCACTCACGACTTGACATGCGATGATATTTAATTGCTATATCAAGTTGAACCAATCACCAAGACATACCCAAACACCTTGACAAACATTCAATTCATACTGGTAAACTTGGACAACCTTTGGACGTCTCACATCTCAATGATCTGACGCCCCAAATGGCCCCCTGCGAAATTCGGTGTCAGGAAAAAAAAAACTAGCCCCTCCTCATTGTGAAGCATAGTTATTTGTCTTGACGAGGTGGAACTAGTAAATAGACATTTTAGTGGAACCTAGTAGTGACTAGTTCCACAAGGTGGAACTAACATGAAGCAACACATGATTTGGCCCATTTGGTGGATCCCATTAAACCCAAATGGAACCGGCCAAACGGTGGCTTTTGGGACTCTACGCCCTCCCGCCGTTGAACGGGTCTTCCTCCGGGGTGGCTCCGTGGAGACGATCAGTTGGGGTGGTTGACTGGGGGTCTTTCTGGGGCGGCATCGATGGCAGTCCCATTAGTCGTGTCTGGGTACAAATTTTGTGGCTCAAAAGCATGGTGATGAGGAGACATCCTTGAGTCTCCGAGTTGAAGATGAATACTATACTCATACTCCCTTGGAACAATCATGGAAGTGGAGAGCATGGCCCCGAGTTCGGAAGACCATGTTCATGGGGTGAACTCCCCTTCCAGGTTTGTTCCAGGGAGGGTACCTGGACATGATTCCATGCAAAATGAAACCTTTCAACACTGGAGAGACCTCGCGTTCAAATGCGTTCAACCACCTCACTGGACGGTGCGATTCGGTGTGTGGATCAGTGTTTCGTTCGCTGAGAACCGCGGTCGCCCTGCCACCGAAACCTTCACGTTCAAACAACAAACAAAGGGATGGAACCAGTAGACGGTCTAGAATCTAATAAGCTAGACAAATCGTCATACTCCACATAACCGCATGGCTCCAAAAGCGTGAGCAATACTGGCACCGAGGGATTCCACTGGCGCCGCAGTTCACGGCGCCCTGCCAAGGCTCTAAGAAAATGCCTTGACTAGCTTGGTTCGACACCAGTTCTGCAAGCACTTGGAGCTCCCCTGCGTCCTTCGAATGATGGCACGAATGATGGCGCGCGATCGGAGCTGCTTTTGCAGCCGGACAGGCTGTGAGACAGGGTCGGTGATGGAGCATGGAAGGCAAAATGAGAACGAGACTTGATGGATAGTGTCTGTGCATCCTCCCAAGTCGTGCAGGATGTCTCACACTAAAACCAACTTGGGCCATGTGTTTCGAGGAAGCCTGCTGGTTGTTCCCGGATGATTCCAAGTGCCAAAATGTAGCATACAGCAAAAGCTGAGCACAACAATCACTTGTAAGATTCATCGACCATGTGTTCTTATTGACTAACTGATCTCTGGAGAATCAATTCATTCCATATGGGCATACACATGATGATGGCCCATATCGCCTACGCTTCGATTCATTGGAAACCCTGATCATGCTCCCCACTTTTGGCGGTCCAGCACGTTTGTGCCCAGGGAGAGCACCAAGGGGGCAGGTGCCGGCGCCGCCACCAAAGGTCCTTCCCACAGGGCCTCGCCGTCGAAAATGAACCATTTGTTTGTTCGCACGTGCCAAAAAAAAGGAGAGAACTGTGCATTCATAGGGTTTGAAGGACATATATGTTCGACGTTGTGTTCTTGTTTCCGCAATTCATTCTGCGTGGTGATCGCCGCCTGTTACCGAACACAAAGAACACAAAGAGGGCCCATGGAGACTTATGGAGATGGCCAAAACAATATCAACATGCATTGGAGCCATCCGTGACACATTGATACGATCATCTGCGACAGCCAAGTCGTTCTCATGTCGATTCATGTCGTGTCACCAGTTTGCTATTAAGCATGAAGCCTCAAAGGTCAGGGACCCCAAAAAACCCTAAACAACTCCAACTTCCAGGCTAGAGAGACAAATCCTGCTGTGAAATGATGGTCTCACTGAACATCCCTGACTCTGAGCCTGCACCCCCCTCACTTTTCGTTGAATCGTCAAGACCTATTTGACCGGAATCCGGGAATCTTCCATCCTCCTATCACACCTTCAAAATCACAACACCATGACTATCCTTCCTTCCTATCACACCTATGACTCAAACCACAAACATGATCACCATGGGCCAATGGAACGGTCCGCCTCAGCGGGCAAAGAGGTGGGTACCGACTGTAGACAGTCGGTGTGACAAACCAACCAGGCGCCTGGTGCCAGGGGTGGCAGCGACTGGGAGGAAGCTGCAGTAGATTGGTGTTCTACCCACAGCACGATGGGTGTTCTACCTACTGCAAGGGTGGGATTGGGAGGAAATGGGAAAAAAATCAGTTAGAACGTGTCAGAACACAAATCCCACTTGGTCATCCACTTGATTCTCCAGGTTGGGGGCGAAACCGCACTGAGGTTCTTCCAGAGGTTTTCCCGGAACTGTAGGTCTAGCAGGAATTGAAGGTCTAGCAGGTGTCTTCTTCTTTACAGGCCTTTTCACAGAAACGTCAAGTTTCGCAAGGAAATCGGTCTTTCAGGTGCTTCAACCCTGCAGGGTCTGCGAGAATGCATGCAAAGGGGCGATACGGATCACGGCCATGCCATCTCTTCCCATTTTGCCAACAATCTTCAATTGACATGGCAGCCAGGCCCCATGGCAGGTATTCTGATCTGCACCCAATCATGGCAGGTGTTCAAGAGCAACCTTTCCAAAGGTCCCATTTCGAATTTATGTTTCAAATGTTTCGGGCTTCAGGTCCATCCTTGCCCATGTGACCTCTACAGCCACTCTACACTCTACAGTAACCAAAAGGGAACTTGCCGCTTGCCCCTAAAAAAAAACACACATCACACCACCACCCCGGAGTAAGCAGGCTTTTTACCCCAACAGCTCCGACTATGAACGAAACAGGCCCTGTTGACCCTCACCGGTCGGACCCCGAATCGGTCGCCTCGCAGCAGCACCACCCGGCCCAGGTCAAGGGACCTGCCGGGTGACCGCCAGGACGGACGTGTTGACGTTAAAAGAAGGGGTGTTCAAAGGAAAAGCAACATGTCGGGCAGGTTGACATATGAAATACCAGTACCATGTGGATGTTCTTGCACGAACATTGCACGTACATGTGTGTTCTTCTTGGAGTGTCAAAAGGATGCTTGATGTTGGGTAGGTATATCCCATTAATTACCAGGGCTTAGCAAATGGGATGATAGTGTTGTTGGTGTTGCAGGCCGACATAGCTTAAAACAACGATATGTTTATTACCGACTCTATTTACCAGTACGGGTAAAGTGCGACAAACCCTGAACATGTTTTCGGACAATTCCTCGGTGTTGCCGTGATGTTTTGAGCGAATGGGTCCTGCGCCGGAACATGGTTCATCCACTGCCCAGGGCAGGGGGGCACTGGTCGGACTGAGACCGCAAGTCGTGCTTCGATCGGCGCCTTCCCGTCCACGGATGTCTGTGCTGGTCTGTTTGGCCACTAACTGCCACGGAAGAAGAATGGCATCACGCCCAGATTTGCGTCATCTGTGACAAAGGCACCACACAGGGCTTAAACAAAGAATGATCGCTAAATATGCCAGTCCCCTGGAGTGTATGGGTTACACAGTGCTGCCAAGCACGCAGTGATGCACATGCACATGAGACTCACGCGCGCATGCCCCACATGCCCCACATACCACGCTCCTCGTGTTGGCTTCATGGCTTTTGCAAACGGTATTCCGCGGTATTCAACATCGGTCGTGTGACAGCCTTGCAAGCCTTGCAGGGTCCTAAGCACAAAGTAAGCTATTGATTAATAACCCCTTAACAAGATGGCTTTACATCCCCATCTGGTGGGTCTTATTAATGAACAGTCAACACAAAACAATATGATATATGTTCCAAACAATTCCCACGTTGTCCACTGTACACGTTCAACTCCCCATTCACCTTCACCACATCTAGAAATCTACAGTAGTCGACAGGCAAAAGAGTAGCTGGAAAGAAACATGAATTTTTCACCTGTGAGACTGTAAGACCTCCTTGCCATCTGATGGCTGATTGTCTTGTCTCTATCTGAATCAACTCCAACTCGTCTTCTTTGTCACTCCCAAAGGGTCAAAACCAGGACATCTACGATCGGAAACCATCTAGATCTGGCCAGGGGCGAGATCTCGGGTGTCCACTCTGTGCCACAGCTAGGCACATCCTCTGTGCCTCTCCGGTCCCAAAGGCACCTCTGCAAGGACTGGAGGGATCCAAAGTCGACGCTGGGAAGCGCCTGACGATCCAACGACGATGAAGGGAGGGTTGCATGAGTCAGACTGGGGATGAAGCACAAAAGAAGTATTAAAATACGCATAGAAGGCGGATGTCTTTTCTTAGAACAATCACACAAATCAAACATATGTCAACAAAAATAACCATTTAACTTGAACTATATACCTCCTGCAGGTGGGGTGGGTGCCAGGATCAGCTCGATGGCAGACTGAACCGGGAGTTGAGGCCCTTGGCCCAGGATCAGACCGTTGGCCACCTCGACAAAAGGAAGACGCTCCTTTGGGGTTGTCGAAGATGGGTGATTCGTGTGGCCATCATGAGTTGACCGGTTCACTTCAGCGTCAGGTGAGCTCCCGGCATCTGCCTAGGAGTTCGGACCCTTCATACAGCGGAAAAAGTGAGTCTTGGCCATGAAGGTGTCAGATTGACCAACCGGCGCTGACTTAGGAGGACTGCGGAGAACAAATGGGCTGATGGTTAGTATAGGAATACGTAATAGCCAGTAATTACAATCTTGATGAGGGTCTATCCGTCCTTTGTCTTTCGATCGTCCTGCCAGTCAGCCAGCTTATGCTGCCAGTGCAGCCAGTCAGCCTGGTGTGGCGCATGTGTGGAAGGTTACGGTTGAAGGTTCTCCACTGAAGGGGTAGGAAGGTCACGACGAAGTAGGCCACAAACGCGAAGGCAGGCCACCGACCAGATTCTCCCCCACTGCAAGAGGCAAACAAGCACGTCACGACCACCAGACTAGCTTGCGTCTTAGCAACTATTGCGATCAGCAGTCAAAAGCATCGCAAGCCCACAACATAATGAGAGGCCCTCCTCACTGTCCAATCGCGTCCAAAGATGAAACCTTTGAACAACATGCCAAGCGACTTCATCCACAGTGTACACAAAGGACCATTCACCCCTGATGTGTCCCTAACGATTTGTTCACACTTTACAGCTAAAAACCTCCCTGTCCTGGACAACCGCCCCAACATGTGCCTCTACCAGCAACACAAAGGACACAATACATTGATTGGCGAGCTCCGTTCGACAATTGGAATCATATATATATAGAAATAGAAGGGGTTCGTTGATCAGGATGGCACAGTCTTCTACTCTCATGCTGCTCGCGCCTCTGCCACAGGCGGCTCTATCCTCAATCAAGCACTGGCGGTCCCAGATCAGTCCATCAGCGAGGATTGAACAATCACAAACAATGGAACAAGAACTGCACGCTTGTATCAGTGTAATGAATGTCATGCAAGGGAATCCTGGAATATCATGCGTCATTTGTACGGCAAAGACATGCAAACACACACACACTGCACAGCACATGACAAATAGGAAGCTCACCAAACCTGACATCCCAAATTCCCGAAGGAAGCTCAACGTCCGACTCTCCATGCAAAATGCACGGTCTCTCTCAGGAGCTCGGGCCTTTTGGCATGGTCACCAAGTGTAGTTGAAGAATGTTGAAGATATATATATACACCAAAACACATCCAGGATCTAATATGAAGATGGGAGGGCCTTGCTCGTGATTCTATAGAGATAAACTGACGACAGGGAACACCCCCGAGCTGCTGGACACGGACCCTGGACACCGGATCGTTCGGGGAAACCACCAATCGCCGGTGAAAGGTTATCCACTGACTGGATAGGGTAATCCTGAACCATTTATTAATACTATATATATCTATATATTGAATGTTTAAAAGCACACACACAACCACAACCAGAGCCGAGACCGTGATCTGTATTAGCCATGCAGTCGTAAGTTGCAGAACTCCTATTAAACACCCATCGAGGTTAAACAACCTAATTGGCCTCAAAACCTCCCAACTTTCAATGATTGGTCTGTAAACTTCTCTCAGCTCTGATCTTTGAATATATATATATATGAATATATATTGAACATTCTTGAACCATGTTGAACGTATGAGTCATATGAGTATGGAATCACTAGGCCCTCTGAAAGCCCATGTTCTAGCACAAGAGGACAAGCACATAAGCTCTGCTGTACGATGAACCACTCGATTCCCAGGTCTCTCAGCCAAGCTGCTCTGAACAAACCTTGGCCTCAAGCGCGCGCGGTAAATCGGTGACTGACGTTGGAAGCTAAACCTCCCTAGGCTCCAGCAAAACTCCCTTAGCAACCTCCGCGTTCTTTCGCAGTTGCCATGGTTCATGTTCCTTTTTCTGGCCGGGCCAGTTCCCAGGCAACTAAGCAACCGCGAGCGCCGTGAGATGCTGGACGTTTCCCTTTGGCAGAAGTGCATCGTACGTCTGGGGATCCCCCAAAAACACATCACACCATGTTTCCGCGTGGCCGGTGCCGATGTTCAGGCTTCCAAAGGTATTTCACCTGCTCCACCTCGTGTATTGATCCCCAGACAGATCAATGAAGGATTCTACATTCCTGCCCATCTAACATGGACCCTGAAACGACGGGGTTGTAGAGGACAATCACGTTGGAGTCCAGTTTTAGGGTCTATGTTATCTATTTTTCGGGTTCATGTGTTAGTCTGCAGGGGGGAGTCTTACTGGCAGGATGGGCACGTTGTCACAAGCTACACGTCACCCCTTAGCGGCTCGCTCCCATCTTCAGACTCTCCCCTCGCCGGCGGTGGACATGCGCCGACCAACCTCGTGCGACCGGCCCTGCTGCATCGATCGTATATGGGGTCAACAGACCAACTTTCCCTATGGATCCACATACAAGCGGCGCACTTATTAAGTCAACCCACGTTGTTCCGAGTCGACTTTACACAAGCTTGAGTCGACTGTCGAGGCTAGTACCTAGTACCTTCTCAGAAGGTAGTTGGAAACTGTTGATGCATGGCTTTTGAGGGTCCAATGATCTTCTGAAAAGGTATATGTGGATGCATATAGGGGTTGGCAGATAGAACATCGTCTGTTGACGCTTCCACAAAACAAACACATCCAGCAGCTTCCTACTGAAGTGGATCTCCAGGAGGATCACCCCTTTCGCGATGCAGTTGTCTTTTCTCTAAATACTCTCCCAACTGCCAGCCTCTCCTGCCAAATGATACAACTCGGTCCCCTCGCCTCCTCGGCGAGGGCCTCTGCCCGATTCAGCACCTAACGGGTCGGGACCCCTTCAGTGCCGTTGGTTTCGGTATGATTTGGGGGGTCGAAGTAGAGATCTCTCTAAAGCACTGCCGCAGAACCTTTAAACAACAAAAATCAAGAACAATCAGGGATGGTGCTTGGATGCTGCCCTCTGTTGAAGAACCAAAACGTCCGAAGACGCCCCACCAAGGGCCCCAAAAGCCCTTTCTTCCATGTACATTGACATGCAATGACCAAGCTCCTTGAAGACTTCCGAAACGGATGGAACGGGTCCTTCCCACTGGACGCCTCTGCCTGTACCCACTTGTAACAAACCGTGTACAATGTTGTCGGAAGACCCCCGCTCCAGCGATACATCTCGACTTCCTATGAGTCACGACCTCCTCAACACTTTCTTCGAGATGTTTCAAGGACACACTGAAATGTATTGAATCTCGATAGGGGTGTACTGCACGGTATAGGCAGATACTCTGACATAAGGTTGTCTGCCCTCACACACCAAAAGTGAAAAAAAGAACACACATCACAGGGCATCGCTAGTAGTAACAGGTGCCACGCTAGTAGTAACAGGTGCCTTACTAGTAGTAACAAGAAGCTATTGGAAACACACTTGGAAAGTCCAACGTTCACGTCTCCCTCTCCGGGCTTCTCCGTCCACCTCATGCAACTCTTCTTGCCAGTCCGCGGACGCCTGCGCGTGGACCTGCCGGGCTGGCTCTTCGGATCCCTTCGGCCCCCACCGCACAACCACCAGGTTGCCGCTATGCTAAGGCAAAGAACACGGTCAGGTTGACAGGTTCACCGCAAGGGACGCACCCTGGATATGAAGACAACATGCACATCACGGCTGGCTAAGACCTCACAATCCAAGGAACCAAGAAGAATGACACTTGACAGACAGCACAAAACTAAAGATGAAGACGAAGACCTTTCTTGCTATTCAGGAGTAATGTAAAGCCTTTCCGGTTGAGATGTTGGAACAGGACACAAGAACACATCTTGCCCCATGTTTCCCTCATGGAAAACCTAGGAATGTATCCTGGTGCCAGGTCTCCAACGGAAACTTCAGCTGACCTGTGGAAACCTCGCACTGGGCAACCGTTCAACCTTGTGGGATGAAAAGGGACACTGAACATGACTGGAAAATACCAGTAAAACCAGTCCCACTACCAGTCCCAACCGGGAAAACTCTGGATGATGTGTCCACAGTCCCAAGCATTTCTGTCAAAGGATCTCATCTTGCCATACAAGTATTGAAACCAAGCATTTCGTTCTGCTTGCTCCTGGCTAGAACCAGGTCCTTCGGACGAACGAACCCTTTTCGATCGCCTGCAAGACCACCTCTTGCAGCGGAGCCTGCGCGGTGCGGGCGCGGTGGAGAGGCGGTCGACCCCCCCAAACTGACCTTCCAAAGTCAACCAGGCGAAGCAGTGGACACCAACAAACCCAACATCATCCAACATGACAGAATCCATGTGAAACATTGTGAAACAACACACCACCACCACCACCACCACCACCACCACCACCACCACCACCACCACCACCACCACCAACACCAACACCAACACCAACACCAACACCAACAACAACAACAACAACAACAACAACAACAACAACAACAACAACA